TTCGAATAAAATAATATTTATACAGCGTGTCTCGCGCAACTGGGCCAAGCCGCGGCCTTAAGGCTGTGCGACAAAGCGTAGAGCCTATAGTTACGCGACAAAGCACACGGGACAGCTTGTGCACTCCTTTAACGATTAATTCGAACATTCGAAATCGATCGGCGACTCGCGCAATTTTTCACTGTTCTTCAAGTTTTTATTTTCGATACGTAATTCGGTCTTCTTGTAACTGTAAATTTCAAACTATAATTCGTTTAAAACAAAATAGAGAGTTTTCAGTAGTTTATTTTCAGTAGATACCGTAGCTTTTCGAAAGTTTCTAATTTAATCTTGTAATTTAAAAAGAAGAGGGACCTATCTTCCAATCTAGGAATTTCCCAGTCGCCAAGTGAAAACAGAATATCGAAGCTTCCGTCGAACTTTTTCGAAATAAAACTAAACAGAGGGTAAAAGAGTCCGATGGAGCGAGATTACAAGCCCCCCGCGACCGGAGCCGCGCAATTGTTTCCGTGCCAGCATTAATTACTGATCAGTATCGCCAGGCGAATCCGCGGGAGCTCGCTCAACGAACCGGAAGCGGCCGAAGGACGGAAAAAAGTGAATCGGATAATCTCCTCGATAATGTTCCAGGAGCAGCAGGCTCGGCCGCGAATTTCCGGTTGCGAAGGAACTTCAAGTGTTCTTCGCACGCATTTCGTAATTATAATATAAATTTCTTCCGCAAAATCAACGGAACCGTGAAACTCTCCACTCGAAGAAATAATTAAATTAAATTAAATAATGGTTGTCATGGTTGTGTCTCGATTTGGACACGTTCAGAAATTCCTCATTGCTTTTATATACTATTTTATATTACACCAATTTCCAAACATTAGAAAATTTCTAATTCAGATCTCGTTACTTCAGACACCGTGTTATCAGAAAATTCTCAGCAGATCTCGACATATTTCAAGAGGGTTCTTCACGATATTAAAATGTTTCCATTGAAGCTACCCTCGGTCCGCAACTCGAGAGATAAAAACAGGCCGAAACCGATTCCACCAGCGAAACGTCGAAGCGACGCGACTTTTTCGCCCGCGGACGGTTCGCCGGAAGCTCCCGTCGACGCTTGCCCAGCTATTGTAGCCGCGCAGCCCGCGAACGCCGCTTAATTAAGCGTACATCGTCGAGCATCGGGGTGGAAAGGACAAAAACCGTTGTCGCGCGATGTTCCCGGGGCGAGAACTCGACGATCGGGACGTCGAGGAGCTTTTTTTCAGGGGAGGCCGGCCGTACAAGCCTTTTCAATCGAAACTTGTCCACGGAAGCGGTTCGAGTGTCTCCTGGACCTAGTTATCGATTCCTGGACTCCGAAAGTTTCGAAATTTCTATCGATTCGATTCGGGCTGCGTCAACGTTTGAATCTTCAAAATGTCAACGTTCTATTAACCCTTTGCACTCGGAAGTATTTCGCTGGAAATACTTAACTGTACAAAGACGATATTCTTTTAAATGAACTCGAAGAGAAAATCACAGGTAAACTGAGAGACAAAGCTTTTTTATCCGAATATTTCATACACCGATGTATTAGACAGTTCAATATTAAATATCAATCTTTATACTTTTACTGCAAAACAATTTCAAAGTGCACCAACGTCCGCGACTTCATGAGAATTCGAGCCGAAAGTTTTCGACGGCAGATGTACGCTCGCGGAGCAACGATTCCTCGAGCGACAGTTTTCCATTGCGAGTCGCGCTTTCGAGGAAATGAAATAACTGAACGCATAATTTTCGAGTGCCTCTGGCTCGTGGTAATTGCAACGTAGTCCTGGCCAGGCTCCGTCCGCCCCCACTCGACACACGCGACGCTGATTTGCATGGGTGGCACGAGTTTGCCCACGAGGAAGGTTCCCGGTTCGCGCAGCTTCGCCAGACCCCAGCAGTTCCCCTCTCTCTCTCTAGTTGATTAACCGGCATGCCTGCGAACCGTATTTACTCTGTGTTACTCGGTAGTGTACAAGCAACAGCTTCCATGTCCGTAGCGTGATAGATAGCGATAACGTTGGGCTCGCCCTGCGGGAAGAACGCTCGGGGAAGCTTGACCATCTTCCCTGCAACGAAAGCCTTCGACCCTGAGACGCCTAACGCGCCGGGGCAAGGAACCGAATCGGAGAACTTCGAACGACAGTTGCTTCTCCGTCGAAACGTTTTGCAATATCTGTTGCACTGTTATTGGAGTTGATCGGTAACTGATTCTCGAGAATTCTCAAGGAAGAATATTCAGGTTTGTCCGACTAGTTTATGGGATATTCTCCTTAACTTCACTGCATTGTCCGTTGCCTGATTAGCACATTTCTATTTCATATTTTCAATTGTTTTTCAACGTTCAAGCTTTGCCTCGAACCCAATGAGATCTTCCTGCACGGTGCTCGAGCTTATTTAGAAGAGTCGAGTAGTTAGTTAGATAGAAGCGAAGTAGCTGCCGTTTAAGTTGCTACCGGCCAGAATCTCCGTGAAATGACAGCGTCCCTCTTTCCGCTTGATGCGCAGAAACACCGCTATGGCTGATCCTGCAAATAGCGCCGATCAAAAACGAACGGGACCTGGTGGTCCTGTTCCTGCTGACCTTCCGGGACATCACTACCCAAAAGCAGACAATCGAGGCGGACGACAGCAAGAGCGGCCTATCCAAGTTCGCGAAACTCGCCAGATCGGTCACCAGGTCCAGATCCGTTCTTGTCTCACAGTTCAGCTCCCATCTGCCAGCCCTCAAGGACTCCGCGTTGCCGACCACTGCGAAACAATCGCATCTAACTCACGTAAGTGCCTCGCAGATCAATCTGATGCATCCGCGATGAGTACCATTCTTTTATTTTCGAACTTCCGATTCGTTGGACCTAGATTATAGAAGCGTTCACCATTCGGGAAGGTGTCTAGCTGTAGAGAACTTAAATTCTCCAGAAAACACGCGTTTGGTGTAAAATTTCACGAGAACTTTATTTTAACACTAAAACTACCGAGCAGTTCAATTGACCTTTGAAAATTTCGCTATAGAAACTCCAAGAGTGCATCTGTTCCGACTTTAATGGTTTACAATTCAATTTGCGTAATGCTAAATGAATTTCTTTAATAATTTCAGAGGAACATTTGTTACCTTTCTAATAATTGCAAAAAGAAGACATTAGGCATGGGTCATTTAATCCCTCTGGTAGTTTTAGTGTTAAACATCTTCCCTTCGAGTAATGTGAAGTGTTTTCGGCACGTTGGGAACTTCACTTGTTTCTTTGATTCGACTGATTTGAGTTCGCTGATTTTTATTTCGCTGTTAAATTAGTTGCATTTCGCCAGTTTCCGTATGATGATCGGCTGTTTTTGGCCCCGTCTAGTTATTGACCTTAAGCGGCGACGTAATGCCGCAGTACAGGCAGGAGGCGCCGAAGACACCGCCGCACATTTTGTTACATTACTGCGCGTTCAAGGCGATCTGGGACTGGATCATTTTGTGTTTGACCTTTTACACGGCCATCATGGTGCCCTACAACGTCGCGTTCAAGAACAAGACCAGCGAGGACGTATCGCTGCTGGTGGTCGACAGCATCGTCGACGTCATATTCTTCATCGACATCGTCCTCAACTTTCACACGACGTTCGTCGGCCCCGGCGGTGAAGTAGTGTCCGACCCAAAGGTACCTACTTTACCATCTGAGATCGCCCATGATCATTTCTCTGTATATCTCAAAAACACAAAAGTATTCTCGAAAAAAAAGATTCTAAAAACACTAAAAATATTACAAATATTGATACTAGAATTACCAGAAAAACAAGTTAGCCCATTTCAGAATGTTTATTTCGCAAATATTTAAAGCACAAGTAAGATACAAGTCCCTTCAAATCTCGAGATATGTATTGTAATATTTATAAAAAATTGGAGATCGAGCAACTCGTATTGCGTCCACACTGAATCGTTTATCGTTTACGTGCAAGTAGAAACGAAGACCTGTTCAAGTCCACGTTGTTCGGGTTCCAGGTGATCAGGATGAACTACCTGAAGTCCTGGTTCGTGATCGACCTGCTGAGCTGCCTGCCGTACGACGTGTTCAACGCGTTCGACCACGACGAGGACGGCATCGGCAGCCTGTTCTCCGCGCTGAAGGTGGTGCGTTTGCTCCGTCTAGGTCGCGTGGTCCGCAAACTAGACCGGTATCTGGAGTATGGAGCCGCGATGCTCATTCTTCTGCTCTGTTTCTACATGTTGGTTGCTCACTGGCTGGCCTGTGTCTGGTACGTCACTTTAAGGTGATTTTACCCTGCCCACACACTGAAAGGTAACACAGCTGCGGCAGGATTGACGGCTACCTCGACGTCATTTACATAACCAGACCGGTTAACGGTCGCGGTCACCGATGGGACTCGTAATCCTCTTGCGTGCAACTCGTTGGGGACCACCGCGGCCAACGGACAGGATGACAATTAACGTCCGCAACGTATACGACGCTCGTTTGTCGCATGAACCGTGTAGAATTTCTCGAGCTTTGATAAACGAGTAAGCGACATTTTTTCATTGTTCCTGGAGGAACGTTTAAACTCATGCAAATTTATTTGAGCGATGATATTATGTCACAACGAAATGCGCTGGGAGGATCAGTCGATTGTAGGATACTTAATAATTTCATTTGTATTTATTCCTTTTGCGATCTTATAATCTTATCCTCGTTATCATTGAATAATTAACCACTGATTCTTGAAGAATCGAGTCCCAGCCGTAACCGCGACGGTTCGAATTAGAAACACGGAGACACGCGCACACGACACACTGTGACGCATGAGCCGCTTTCCGCTCTCGTTCCAATCGGGGCTTCGAGCATCTCTCAGCGTACGACGATACATTGTTTGACCGCGGAACAATCGAAATTTTCGTGGATTCTTCGATGAGAATGTGATTAGCGTCCACTACCCCGATAAGAACGAGACTGCTACAGCTTCTAGAACGGTGACGACGTTTCCGTTACCTAGTGGACCGGCTGCCGGCGCGCCAGCCGAAAGAGAACCCGCCCACGACCACGCTGTTTGAAAACAAGACGAGAACTTTGCATCCGTGGCTGATTAATTCATCACACGAGCTTCCCAATTACTCTCGCTTGTGCCATGCGCGCTGCCGAAACTAGTAGCGCTTCGATTAGTCGAACAAACGAGAAAACCCAACAGAAACGAACGAGAAGTTAGTGTATAGCAAAGATAGACCAGTTTGTCCGTCAGTGAGAAGAGTATTAGAATATTTTCCACCGAAACAAATTATGCCTGAGGTTTAGAGTTACAAGGGTTGATGCCTGTGGATTTTTGTGAAAGTGCTTTGTATTGTCAAACATTGTTATCGGTGACTATTATGGTAGTCACGCATAAAATCCTATCTCGACTTCGATAAAATGTCTTCGATAAGATAAGACGCCTTCTGTTCTCAAGATCTATATCGGCAACGAACACACAAGAATCCTCGGGCAAACGATAATACTCCCAGCACGTCTAGATCGCGTTTGCGTGACATCGATTGTAAAAAGCTGGCCAAACGAAGTCACGCACACGCGACGCCGGCCTTAGCGGTCGTTCTCAATGTTGATTCGTCGATCTTAACACTTTCACGTCCGGTGACACCAACGCGGTGCTATTGGAAATTACACGTATTAAATAATTAAAGTATTAAGTAATTTTATATTTTATATTTGTACATTTTACCGAACAACTTTGCAAAAAGTTTCGGCAACGGAGAAGAAAATCTTTGGGAACCGTGCGGACGTGAAAGTGTTAACGCGCTCGGTGTCGCGGATAAGTCAGATTAGAAACTGAAAAGTCAGCGTTCGAACGAATCTCGAACAACGTAAGACCGAGTTTAGCCTGAAATGAAAAACATTCATTTTCGCGTGAAAAACAGATCAACGAATCAACGCAACAGCGAACAGTTGATAAAGGAAACTCGAGAATAGCGAAATAGATGAAGCATGGCAAAGTGCTTTGACCAAAGTCGCCTATCATTCGCCGATCACGTGGCTGTGGCCGATCGCGATTCATCGCCAACCGTCTGAGAGGAAGTGTGTGGTTGGTTTTGAAGGTACTCGATAGGACGATCGGACGCGGACAACGGTGTCCAGTACTCCTGGCTGTGGAAGCTGGCGAACGTCACCCAGTCACCGTACAGCTACCTGTGGACCAATACGAGCACCGCGCCGGAACTGGTCGCCGGCCCGTCCCGCAGGACGATGTACGTCACCGCGCTCTACTTCACGATGACCTGCATGACCTCGGTGGGCTTCGGGAACGTCGCCGCGGAGACCGACAACGAGAAGATCTTCACCATTTGCATGATGATTATCGCCGGTACGACCATTGCGTATAGCGGCGACGAGTAATCGACTAATAATTATTAAACGCCGCTAACAAGGGAACCCTTCCGACCGGCGCACGCTGATTTTCATGAAACCGATGTGAAATTTCACGTGAATTTCATGAAAATCGAGTGTTGGTGGAAAAGGTTCCCTCGTAAGTCTGATTAACCCTTTTCCCCGTAACACCGTGTTAGATTCGCGATGAAAGTTTTCAATCTAATTTGTTAGATTCGAGTGTTGTTTGCTTTGTCTGATAAATATAAATTGAATATCAGTTTCTCGTTAGCGACCGTTAAATTTTAGAAACGTAGACATGGAATAAGTATGAAATCGGCCTCTTTCTAATCGATTATTAACGATAAGGGTTTGACCATTAGTAACTAACGGTTATCAATAACGAGTCGCTAGTCGAAATATAACGCGTGGATTGCACAATTTTCTGTAGTGTGTATTTCCGAAGTATTACAATTTGCCCAACTCTGGCCACGGTGCGGTTCTTCGGGAATATCGATTCGAACTAGGGAGAGGGGACCTTGAAAGGTCCGACGTATGGTTCACCGCACACGGAAAGGGACACGCGTTTCCCATTCTTCGCTGCTCGCGAGATGAGACGACGAGGAACACCGACGGTCATGATGCAAGGATGCAAGATCCGTCATCTTTGGATGAATGGATCAATCGTTGGCCAATCAATCGATGCCTAATTTATTTCAGAGCATTTAACAAGCGCTAGAATTATATTTGTTCATATAATATAGTTGCCAGCTGATTTGCAGGATTAGCAAACGGTTGCACAGGATTTGGAAAGTGAACAGAGTTTTAAAGAGAACCGTTTGGACACAAACGTGGGTGTACCTCGTGGTCTCTTCTCTTAAGGTATAAGCTACGGTAATCTGTCGATACCCGCAGCCCTGCTGTACGCCACAATCTTCGGTCACGTGACCACGATAATTCAACAAATGACCTCCGCGACCGCGAAGTACCACGACATGCTGAACAACGTGAGGGAGTTCATGAAGCTGCACGAAGTGCCGAAGGCGCTCAGCGAGCGCGTCATGGACTACGTTGTGAGCACCTGGGCGATGACCAAGGGCCTAGACACCGACAAAGTGCTCAACTACTGCCCGAAAGACATGAAGGCGGACATCTGTGTTCATTTGAATCGAAAAGTCTTCAACGAACACCCGGCGTTCAGGTGGGAGAGCTTTCCTCTACCCCCGGGGATTCCCCTAACCGAATAAAATCGAATTTTCAATGGAACTAGCTAGCAGTCAAACTAACGAGTTTGTATTTCATCGGTGATGCGCATTTATTGGGAAACCCCTAAATAGGTAGTTCTAGCGTTAATCGAATTTTCTCTTTCTCCATGAAAACTTTTAACCCTTTGCACTCGGGAGGTGACTCTCAGCCACCACGTGATTTACAGTGAAGCTATAAAGTTTGATATTTAATATTATACTTCATATAATACATCAATCTGAGAAATATTGACGCGAAATAGCTTTGTCCGTCAATTCGCGTGAATTTCTCGTCGAGTTGGTTTTACAAAATATCATCTCATCAGAAAATGTTGAAATATTTCTAGTGACAAACTTGGGAGTGCAAAGGGTTAAGACGGATGGTCGGACAATAGCGATTATTGATCTTACAAGCAGACCACACGCGTCCATGTGAATTTCTCCGGATAAAATCGACAAATAACTGGATTCCTCTCGTAGGCTGGCCTCCGATGGTTGTTTGCGTGCCCTGGCGATGCACTTCACGATGTCGCACAGCGCCCCCGGCGACCTGCTGTACCACACCGGCGAGTCGATCGACTCGCTCTGCTTCATCGTGACCGGTAGCCTCGAGGTGATCCAGGACGACGAGGTGGTCGCGATCCTCGGCAAGGGGGACGTGTTCGGGGACAGCTTCTGGACGAACCCGTCCGTGGGACAGAGCGCGGCGAACGTCCGCGCCCTCACCTACTGCGACCTTCACACGATCAAGAGGGACCGGCTGCTGGAGGTGCTGGATTTTTACCAGGCGTTCGCGAACTCGTTCGCCAGGAACCTTGTTCTGACCTACAACCTGAGCCATCGGGTGAGTCCTCGACCATTTGAGAAGCCGTGTTCGCATAGCACTTCGTAGACTGCGAAGGATTATGGATTTTCAAGGGGTTTTCATCGAGGTCGACATGGATGCGGTGTTCAGTAGATTGTCAGCTAGTCTAGGGGAAATGAGGAAACGTTCAGCGAGGTTTCAGTTGTTTATTGAACTCGAAAAGTCTCGAACAACGGTGCGGTGTTCTCTCTTTGGTTTCTGTGTTGCTCGTAATAGGAATAAACACGCGCACGCACACGCACGAACAGTCTTATGTAACAATAGTGAACGATAGTCGCGCGAAATGTTTACTGATACACGGAGTATTTGTTCGGCGCGGGTGCTCCCCCGGTTCTAAACGGTTCACGTGACTCGCAGGCACTAGAGAATAGGCAATCGAAAGACACGGCGACTCGCGGTGGTTTGCTCTTCTCGTTATCGCGACACGGTGTGGCTCGTTCGGTGGCTCGTTGGGTGACGCGAGCGAGTCGCGAAACGTGACAGCGATCGGAAATAGATGACTTCCAGCGGCAGAAAGTGATATCAGGCCGTTACAGGGACACGAGAGTTTCAACGGAGCTTGTTTCAACGTTGTCGAAACGCCGGCTACGAGATTACCGATATAGTACCGATCGCGGTGGTGACGTTTTACCTGCTCGCTCGTCGCCTTACGGATACAACAGATTTACAATGATTTCTCTGTTCTAAAAAGCTGTTACATTTTTAATAGCCTGATTACAGATTCGTATATACCCCTAGCATCAGTGAGACGCGTCGCACGTCACTCTTTCTTCTCCCTCAAACCGTCGCTGTGCATTTTACGACCGGCCAATTCCATCATCACTTTGGTGGTAGAGTCCTGGTCTAGAACCGACCTAGAGTCCCGCACGTCCTCCTCTTGCTCCGGCAAAGGACCGACGCCCCACACTTCACAATGCTTGATCTTGAAGTTCTCCTTACCGCTGAGCTGCACGTAGTTCTGGAAGGTTGTGCAGGATGGACTTGATCTGCCTGTCCCGTACTCGCTGTCCAGCCACAGGCCAGGGTAGTTCAGCTGCCCCCCCATGAGCAAACCGTTAGGCATAGTCTGTTGGAGGAGATTCAAATACTGGTAATGATTATTGTAAGTTGTGGATGAGAATGTTAGTATCTCTGGTTCGAGCTTAAACAAGAAGGAAGTGTGGTTTCCTATGAAATTGGGACCCACTTTCCAACTGTCGGAAGCAAAACCCCCAAAAACGTGATCGTCGGTGTCTTGGAGGATTATAATGGTGGATCCTTGCATGGTAATTCTTCCTAGCATGGTGGAGAACGATTCCCCGTGCACTTGACTAGAAAACAAGAACCTCCATTCGTTGCGAAGTTCGTGGGGCAGGCTGAGATTTAGAAACAGAACGTCCCCTAGTCCCAGAATGCTAGGGAAGTGAGGTATGTTCTCCAGACCTTTGCACACTGGCAGCAGATTCAAGTCGTTTATTCTGCCACTGGTGTTCTTGTCCCCCTTCTTTTGAGAAACAAGGAAAAGGCACTGGAAGACGTGCGATTGGATCGTTTTGAATGTAGCAGCTGCAACAAACCAATTTTCCACCTGCTCGGCAGTCAATGTATCCCCGTGTTTAATGATGTCTTCGCATAAAGTTCTGGAGCGCATTCCTATCCTCCTGGTATTCACGGTGCAGCCTATACTGCTCCAGGTTAAATAGTGTGCATTGCCGGAATTCTTCTGAAGCCTCAAATAGGAATTTATCGTAGCTTGTACGTATTGTAGGAATATTTCGGTGGGTATCTCTTGCTTCTGCTCCTCTTCTGAGTAGCCATTAAATACTAAACTTGTCCTCTCTTCTGGACTACCACGAACAGAGAACACATACAGACGACCAAAGTTCTCTCCATTTATAGCGGAGACTTTTTTTCCTGGTTCGTGGCAGAGGAACCGTACCACAAATTGCAATAAAGTGTCATCCAAGTGGACAGTCCAGTGTTTAAATATGTCCTCGCGTTTTATGGAGCCTGAGCTTCGAAACATAGACTTGAACAGATTCTCCACTAACGTCAACTCCTCCGCGGACAATATATTCGCGGAAGAAGCACTGCGGCTCCAAGCATGACCCATCTGGAACAATACATTAAGCCTAATTTATACTTAATTCACAGCTCGACCAAAAAACATTGCAAAGCATGCAAAAAGTCACACGAGAAACACAAAATCCAATGTTTAATCGGACTCGATAAGAAATTACATCGTATGTCTGACCAACGGGTACCTTATTCTACTTGATCGACGTATCACCTTTTTCCTCGGTTCGATTCGCGACGTGTCGATTATTTCACCGAGAACCGTTGCGCAGAAAGTGTACGAGCGAAACAGTTACGGATTCTTCGACGAAAAAAGAACCGGAAAACAAAAAGAAATGCGCTGCTAAATCTCTCGACAGGTAGGGGTACAGAACAACAGTAGGTATACACACCTCTTCGTGGTTTCGTGGAGCGATTAGGATTCGAAACGAGTCACGGAGGTGAAAGTACGCGCGAGGCCGCGCACCTTTTCTCAGGAATCAAATACGACGCATCCGAGACGAAGTTCCGGGACGGAACTCGTCGACGGAACGGTCCGCGACCTTATCCGTTCCGACGCGATAAATAAGATATTTTGAGGTTAGTCGAGTGCGAGTTGTCTGCTACTTATGCGCCTATCGACTCCCGTCACCGCGCATGCGTCGTGGCCGAGTGTGGGCGTGCAAACCGTTTCTCTTTTATCGCGACTTTTCATCTAGAAAAACAATAGGGAGCCGTTGTTCTTCCGGTGTCGAAGCTATCGAAAACAATTAAATCGAATCTTCGGTATCACACTGACCACACTATATACGCTCGTACTAGTACGATCCCTCGTGCCCTTCTCGACTGGCGCTTTCCGTGGCCGTTACTCGGACATTTTGAATTTTTCAAACGCAAAATTTATATAAATAAAATTGGGGAGGGAGGATTGCCTATAATATGTATATATATATATATATACAGTATCCCCAGCGACGGCTCATCGATTTTTCCTAATTAACGAATATAAGCATCTGCCGGCGAAACGTATGGAATAAACGAACAATATAAAATACATAAATAATAAGTTGCCGAATTAGAGATTAACATTTCGCGCATGCTGCAATTCAAAGCATCGTAACCAGTTTATTTCAGGTGATTGGGCCTTGCAGGTTAGGTAGTTGTCTGCTGCTTTTTTAATTGTTTTTTAAATAGGTTCATTATAAAACACACTGCATTTAGGTCACGCGAGGCAGGAAAAAATGAACGCAATAACCAATTTGCCTCGTCCCATCGTAAACCTAATATCGAACGGGAACGACCGGTGACCAGCGCTGCGTGCGGGCCACGAAAATTATTAATACTGAATAATTAACCGAATAATCGTCACCTACATAGTAAGTGGCAGAAAACCGATAAAGGGTCCGGCACGCTGCGGGACATTAATAATAGCGATGGAGATCCCCGGGAGCAGAAATAATTATTCTGGGAGCCATAAATAATGCCGGGTCTTGGGATGCAATCGTAATCTGATTAAATATTTGCTTATCTGCCGGCACGGGCCGGGCGGAATTGGCACGAGCCGATCGAACATTCGAATAATCGTATTTCTTTGATCCCGCCGCGTAACGATCGCGTCCATTTCTCGCATCTCGTCCCCGAAGAAGGTACAAAGTGTTTATCTGAATTTCTTATTCGAGTGGTATCGAACGTGTCCACGTTTCCGGGCCGCCCATTATGCAACAAAGGAATCAATCGCGCATGAATAAATCGCGTCGGATTAACCTGTTAACAAGGGACGACGAGTCAACTCGTCGTTGCCCGCGGACTTTGTGCGCTCGTCGCGAGTCGCGGATGTACAGGCACAGAGAAATAAGTAATTCCATTGATGTCTAAACATTAGAGTCGTTCGGGAGGCTTCTAATTACTTCATAAATGTTTAAACTTGCAACGAGAGCAGTCGATCTGTTGGGAAACCCCTCGTTTCCCTGTTCATTCGATTGATCAATTTTCCATTTCGCTGCGTCTCTGTAAACATTTGTTCGCGGTATAGATTTCTCGATTTTCAGGTGGAATATTTCATTGGCTGTTTACCATTTCCCACGCACGGCGACTCTGATATTGTTAATACGTTTTATTAATGATATTATCTGTTGTTACTACGTTGTATGAACGATATCACCAGCCGCCGATAGGTTGTATCAACGGTATTGTTGTTTCATCGGTACGATTTGTCCACAGTTAATATTCCGGAAGGTGGCCGACGTCCGGCGAGAGAAAGAGCTGGCCGAGAGGAGGAAGAACGAGCCGCAGCTGGATCAAGCGCAGGATCACCTGGTGCGCAAAATTTTCTCGAGGTAGGGACAGATTTGTTGCCATTGAGCTCGAATGGATACTGCCGCGAATCCATTCCGCGCGCTGTTCGCTGCCTCTCTCGATGGTCCTTCATCTTTCATCTATCGCCAGGCTTCGCGGATTTTTCTCTCGCGAAGCCGCTTCAACGATATCCGGAAACGATATTTCACAGCGAGCACGTATCGAATTCGAACAGTTGTACCGATAGCCGAATATTCGAATGCCAGCGAGACGTTTAGAACCGTGCGAGTAATGTCCCTTGAAGGAGAAGATGAAATTTGAAAGTTTGAAATGTTCAGACCGTCGGAATGAAATGTCGAAGAGGAACGCGAAGAAAGATGATGGACCGGGAGGAGAAGAGCAGCAGGCGTCACGGAAGAAGCCTCGTGCCTCGGACACACGCGTGTTCTCGCGCCATTGTCGTCCGACCAGCCTCCCCCGGTGAAAATTTGAATTCCTTCGACAACAAGATACTACAGTGAACGTCCGCAGGAAAATTCAGAGCCGCCCCCGAACAACCCATCTCCGCAGACAATAGCGTGGAACGCGCGGGCGTCGTCTAGTCACGATTGTTTAGCTGGCGAACGAACTCGACGGTCGTTAAGCGAATCACGAGGATTATTAAGGGGAGGGTAGTGGCTGCGATCGAGGTGAGAATGTCAACGAGAGAATGGCAGTGCGAGCGAGCGAGCGAGCGCGAGCGTGAGAAAGGGAAAAAATGAAGGATAGCATAAGAAACGCGGAAAAGATGCGGAGGTGTGTCGTCAGCGGGCG